GCTCCCATCTGGAGTGAGGAAAAAAAAAAGACACAAGGACACTACAACCTGTTTCTCATTCTACAGCTCAGAAATATATATATATGATAACTGTGAAAAAGTCCCAACTGAAATCCAGAGGCACACATCTAAATTCTCCCAGCAGCCCCACAGGAGGTAAACAGGGCTGAAGGAGAACGTCAGTGACAACAGAGGGGGAAGTTGAAGCAAAGCACTCAGCCAGTACTTACTGCTCTCACCCCCTGTGGTACAGATGTTGCGAACGATCCTTTTCTTGACCTTCTTCAGTTCGTCAAAATTATGGACCGTCAGTTTTTTCTCTGCCGTCCCTGTGATCTGGATCAGCTGTTGCTCATCCACGTCCCCGATGCCCACTGAGTAGATGTCTACACCTCTGTGCCTCAGCTCTTCAGCAGCCTGAGCCACTTCATCTTGGGAACGACCATCTGTGAGGACCAGAAGCACTTGAGGGGTACCTGCATTTATCCTGCTGCCTGTCTCTGGCTGGAAGTAGTGCCCCACCTTACGGAGGGCATCACCAATGTGGGTGTATCCGAAGATCTGCGGGATGCTCTCAATTTTCATGGATATTTCCCTCTCCCCAGTGAAAGCTCCCAGCAGAAACTCTGATTTGTAGGTGTCACTGAACTGAGCCACTCCTATGCACACTCGGTTGAGGCTGACATCAAAATCTTGAACAACAGATGCCAAGAATTCTTTCATCTTCGTGAAGTCGTTTGGGTGGATGCTGTTTGAACCATCCATGAGGAAAACAAGGTCTACTTTCTCAATGTCACAATCTGCAAAGAGGAAAGGAAACAACGATGAGACCAGATGAGTACTCCTTCCTTAACCCCACAGGAGTAAACATCTGCATCTATACAGAAATAGCATTTCTGAAAGCAGTTTCTTATCACATGCTACTCTGCCATCACGCTAATTGGAAAGGTAGCAAATACAAGCGAGCCCTTCGTGAAGGTGCCACTCACACACTCCTGTTTCCCTTGGCTTGCCTGTTTGGTCTTACACCATTTTCTTTTTTGAGATGCCAAAGGGACTGATCATATAAAGCTTTTCTTATCTGCAATCTCCTCTTAAGCTTCTAGAAGGCCCCGGGACAGTAGTAGCCTAGCAAGCAACCTAACACATCCATTTAGGGATTCAACTAGAAACAGATGGTTTGCATTACTGACTTGGCCTCTCTGGTCCAGTTGGGCCAATATATTTTTTGATGTATGAGGGCAAACTGAAAGGAAGATTTCAAAGCATGCTCTCCAGTCTCTATCTGACTGACCTTCCTCTTCTACCAGCCTCCTTTCTGATGTGTGTAGGCAAACATATCTGCTTTAAGAAAAATGTTTGTGCGCACATAATGCAATATGGTCAGATAGTTCATCCATTGTTTTATCATAGCAAATACAAGACAAACAGAACAAGAGAGGCCATTGCCAGTGGATGAGTGATGCCTGCCACACACTCGGCTATGTCCCCTAAGCTTCCTGGTAAACACTGTCACTTTCTTGAATTTCCAGTGTTCTCAAGCATTGACCCAACTTAATTCCCCTTTTCATTTTAGTTTTTCTTTTCATGTGCGTATGTGTGTGTGTGTGTGTGTGTGGGTGTGTGTGTGTGTGTGTGTGTGTAGTGTATATGAGCATGCATGTGTGTGGAGGGGACTGTACACACACCCATGCTGGGAAGCCAGAGGAAGACATGAGGTGTCTTGCTTTAACATCCCTGTCATCTTCTTCCTTTAAGACAGGGTCTCTCCCTAAAACTGGAACAAGGCTGGCAGCCAGCCAGGCCTATTGATCCTCCTGGGTCCTCCCATCTCTGCCCTCCTCCCCACCAGAACTGCAGCTGCAGGTAGGTCTGGCTTTTTACTTGGGTGCTGGGGATTTGAACTCAGGTTCTCAAGCCTGCACATCAAGTATTCTTACTCACTGAGCCATCTCCTCAGTCCTCAAGTTAATTAGTTGTCAATGTAATCCCAGAAAAGTTTGAAGGTGTCAGATTCCCACAGTCCAGGTAAGCGAGGAAGAGATAAAAGGAAATATAGCTAGTAGATTGATCTTCCAGGGAACTGGTTGATTTGTTACAGTTCTTTGTTTCAGGTTCAAATCAAGCACCCTTTCCTTGCTTAATGGAGACTTTCAGTACAAAAATGCAATGTCAACTTTCATAGAGAACCTGAGGACAGATAAAATTTTAGGCATTCACCAACAAGGAAAGATATGCCCTAGCTCCAATAAGAAACAGAGAGGTTGTTAGTTTGTGTGGTGGTTTGAATGAAAATGTCCCCCATAGGCTCCATGTATTTGGACATTTTGTCCCCAGATGATGGTGCTGTTTTGGGAGGTTTTAGAAGGTGTGGCTGTCCTGGAGGAAGCACGTCACTGGGGGTGGGCTTAGAGAGTTCTTAAACTTTGCCCCATCTCTAGTCCCTCTCTGGCTTCCGGGGCCTGCGTGATGGCGTGAGAGCTTCACTTCTGCTGCTCCTGCTCCTGCCACTATGCCTCCCTGCCGCAACAGACTGTAATTCCCCTGGAACCCTAAGCTCAAATAAACTCTTCCTTCTATAAATTGTTTGGGTCAGTGTTTCTATCACAGCAACAGAAAAGTGACTAATGCAGTTTGTCAATGAAAAAATTAGCAGCTACAGTCTAAGGAAGCAAGGCACACACAACCGGAAAAGCTGGAATGACTGAAAAAGAGCTGCATCAACATGTTGGCTCTGCGGACCAAGCAATTCATCTAATAAAAATAGTGGGTTTTGGTATACTGCATCTTGGGGGAAAAAATAAGAACTTCCTTTCTTCCTTTTTCTTTTTTTGAGACAGAGTTACACTTTATAGCGAGCATAACCTAGACTGAACTGTGTAGTCCAGGATGGCCTCAAATTGCCTTAGCCTCCCAAATACTGCAGCTGCAGGTATGCACCCATGCCTAGGAAGAGTACAGTCTCACTCTGACCTAAAAGTGCAGAACGGCAGTTGAATGAAGGAACAACGAAAGAGTGAACAGACAGAGAGAGACAGACAGACAGACAGAGACAGAGAGAGACAGAGAGAGAAAGACAGAGAGAGACAGCAGCCAAAGCAGAAAGGTGCCATCCAGGGCAAAGAAAACCCCACTGTTCTCTGTCCAGGAACCTTCTTAGGATGGACCAGAGTGTTTAATACTGGGCTCTGCAAATCCAGAGAACTTGTAGCATGACAGAAATAGGAAGAAACTAGGGATGCTTAACCTGGAGGAGAGATGGCTTCAGGCAATGCATGCTGGCCCTTAGGAGGAAATAGAAAGAAGGATGAGTGGGTGGAAAAACATGAGCACATGTATGCTCAAAAAACGTCTTTCAAAACCAGTGATTTCCTATTGTTAGAAGCTGTAGGGAAGAAGTGAGAAGTGTTTTTGAATGTGTTTCTCTTGGGGAGGAGCATGAGTGAAATATGGTTGAGGATCTTTCCAACTCTGAGAGTCTATGGAAGGGGGAAGGCCTATGAAATAATTTTGGTTCCTTCTCTCTTCCCAAGACAACTGGTGCCCCCAGCACCACCACATAGGCATCTCACTCATAAGACCCTCTGCCAACAATTAGGAAAAGCTTAACTGACAAGACTTACCCACTTTTGAAGAGTTTCAGACACTGGCTGACACATCGGAAAATATCCCCTTCAGGCCTCCAAAAGTCTCCACGAAGTAGTACTTGTCACTTGACCCCGCCATGGCTAACAGCTCCCAGGTATTGGCGCCAGCAATCCCCACAGCTAGGACTACAATGCCTTTGTCCCGCAAGGCCTTGGCAGTGGCGTTGAGCTTCTCTGAATCATGAGATTCCCCATCTGTGATCACAATGAGGACTTGGGGGACACCCTTCTGCAGGCGGCTGCCCTGGGCTTCAGTGAACATGTGGTCTGAAAAGGCTAGAGCCTCCTCCGTGTAAGTATTACCGCCCATGGGCTGGTCCCTCTCCAGCACCTTAATCACATTCGATTTTGTGTCATGGTCCTTTAGATAAAACAACACTTCCGGGTCATCAGCATACTTAAGTGCTCCAAACCGGACCTTATTCTTGCCCACATCAGCTTTTTTCACTAGGCCAATCATAAAGTCCTTCATGATGTTATATTCTTGAGAGTCAATGCTTCCAAAACTATCGATGACAAACACAACATCCAAAACTTCAATCCGCTTGCATTCTGGAAGAGGGAGAGGAAGGGAAACCGCATGAGATGAGGTGTAGACAGTGTGGGAGATCCTCCAGTTTCTTTTGAAATGACTGGTGCTTTCTCTCCATGGAACCACACCATGCTATATGATTATCAACTCTCAGATAACAGAGCTACCTTTACATTTGTGCTGCCGGTACCTAGTGATACTCGGGGGAGCCTTTAGGACAAAGCAGGGGTGGGTGGAACCTACTTCAGAGAGGGAAGATGGTCAGATAGGGTAGCAATTACAGGACCATCAGGAATAAAATTTCACCCTTTAGACTAAAAAAGGAAAATCATGATTCAGTATAAATTTTCTCATTTAAGTGTTTCCTTTCCACATGTGCTTTCGTTTATACAAATTTGTTTTTAAGTTAAAAGGATCTAGAGATTTTTCTTAAGATAAGCCATGGTGAAATGACCAAAACCAAAAGAATTTGGCAATACTATGTTTTTGTCATTGTTCTCTACATTGACTGTTTTTTTCTTCTTTTTTGACTTTCTTGAAATACCTATTTTCATTACTGGGTCCCATTAAACCTGAGGTCAGTGCTGTGGAAAAGCAGAACAGGAAGGACCCAGTTAGTTCCTGTGGTGCTGCTCCATCTAAAGGAACTCATCCATCCTGAGTTCTAAAGGCTCAGCTCATCCGTTCTGGAGAAGTGGAATCTTGAGACAGCCATTTAGTCTTTATGTCGGTAAGACAGTCTCTCCAGGTCACAGGAAAGTATGACCCAAATGTTAGCTCACGCATTCCTGAGAAACGAAGCTGTGAGAAAGTGCTCCCTCTGCCCGCAGGCTTTCCCATTTCCTTCTTTTGTGAGACACTTGCCAGCCATGTGAAGGGCTCCTGAAAGCCCACGAGTCAACCACTGCCTGGAGGCCATGAATACACAGCCATAAACCAAATTCCCAAAGAGAGACTGACTCCAATAAAGAAGAACTGGGTCCCTCTGGCCTTCTGTTGTCTGGGAATCTTGTTTGGATTATTTAGTGGACTCAGGGGACTTGGGGGAAGATTGCTCAGCACTGGAACCCTTCGAAGAGCTGATACTTGTTATGGGTGGAATTACCTAGGAACAGAAATCAGGTGTACTCTTCTTTCTACAAACATAAACCATCAAACCCTAGCCTGGGAGTTGAACCGAACTGTTACTAGAATTATAAAACAATGTTCATCTCCTTTCTTAAAGTTCCATTAAGATGCATCTAAGTCAAGGGGATTTTTCAGAATGCTTCTGGGCATTAAGCCCAGGGATGACAGTATAATCTAGCCACTTAAATTTGCTGGTCTTCTGTGGCTTTGTTTCGGTGGAGTGAAGTGCTAGAAATCAGAGCAGGGCCTTGAGAATGCCAGGTGAGTGTCTACCACTGAGCTGTATCTACAGCGCAGAGCTTTTGTTTGGTCACTTCCATTACTCTGTGTATCGTAAGAAGAGGGGAATATGCCATTTCTTTCTATTGAAGCATCCATTGTTCAAGTGCCTTAGAATAGTCATTACTTATAAGATCTAATAGATATCAAGTGTTTTTACAAATGTTTCACTTGATCAGGTATTGTCTTCAGAAATTAAAAAAAAACAAACCCTATGCATAGAGATGCTGAGCCAAACTTGAGTCTTTCAGCCCAGGAGGATATGTCCCTTTACCACCTGCTTAGCACCCACATGTTATCTGATGAAACAGGGGACACATGGTTAGGCACCTCATTTTAAAGCAGGACCAACTCTGGTGGAACTTAGACTCTAAAGTTGCCTGTGGATTAGTCTGAAACTAGACTCTCAGCTGAAGTGACTTCCTTACTTGGCTCCTACCTCTTCCCTGTCTTATTTTCCTTCTTCCCCTCCTGAACACACTTCCTTAATGAAACACTTTCACAAGAACTCTTGACTCATCCTCTCCTTCTAGACAGCCTGATCTAAGACCTGGTGTGACACCACCTTTCTTAAAGGAACAATTAATCACCTTATGGCGATTTGTCTTTAAGTGAGAATGTGTCTAGGAAGACCAAAATTGGTCCTCTGTCAATTATTTATTTTTATTCAGAGGGGGTGAGGTTAAGCCAGGGTCTCATTCTGTAGTCCAAGTTAGCCTGAAACTCACTATGTAGCCCAGGATGGCCTTGAACTCATGGTAATACTCTTATCTCAGTTTGAGTACAGGCATGAACCACCATACCCAACTCTTGCTGTCTATTTAACTCAACATGTCAAAGACACTAAACATACACATTCCAATTAATAAATTCATAGCATTCACATACAAGTCTAATTCAAGCAACAGTGAGTATTTGAACTGCCTTCTCCTTTTGACTAGGCCCACGCTTACCTTCACGGGGACTACATATTCCCAGAACGAGGTCATCTTCAATATGCTGCAGAATGTCAAAGTTCTCAACATAGAAAACCATCTCTGGTTTCCCACTGATCTCTTCAAGCTGGGTGACATTGGAACCAAATACCCCCACGGAGTAGATAATCACACCTTGTTGCCGAAGTGCTAAAGCTGGGTCCCTTACTATGTCCTGAGCCTCACCATCTGTGATGAGGATGAGGAACTTCCTGACATTGGGTCGGGCCCCCTTGTCTGGGCTGAAGTATTGGGACACAAAGGTGAGGGCACTGCCTGTCAAGGTTGTTTCTCCAATGTGAGCCATTCGGTCTATAGCACTTGAAATGTCACTTTGGGACGTGAATGTGTTGAGGCAAAACTCCTTGTTTTCATGGCTGAACTGGACTACACCGATTTGCACCCGGTCTGCCCCAATCTGAGATTTGCTCACAAGGTTCTTCATGAACATCTTCATTTTACTGAAGTTTTCAGGTCCTATACTTCCAGAACTATCCACCAGAAACATGATGTCAGCTTTCATGTCTCTGCAGGCTGCATGGGGAAAAAATGGGATGTTTAGTCTCATCACCACATATAAAACATTGGAAAATCAAATCACAAATAATTATTTGTTGAGGTTAAGTGTATTTAGCAAAGATGG